GAGGCGGAGGAGGCAGTCAGTCGGTCAGTAGGCGTTCGAACTGAAAACGAACTGAACCCGAACTGCACTGCACTGGAGTCCACTAATAAACATAAGGAGTAAACAAGCCCATGTACGGTCAAGTCGGTCAGCAGTATCTTTTTCTGTCTCCTCGCGGCATTTTGAATCCCCATTGTTGGAGTTTATTTTTTGTCACTTATGCATTTTTCATGGGACGATCCCGATTTCGATGCCGATCCCGAGGAACTGAACTGGAGTGACAGGCGCATTGCAAATTGTCAAACCGTTATGCGATGCTGAGCGACCACCGACTGGAGATGGAGAAAGTCCAAGCCAACGCGTTGGCGGCATTGCGAATTATTGTGAAATATTGAAATTATACAAGCTTCTCCTTCAGTGAGAAAATGAGCAATGCGCCAGTTGCATCTGCATTTTATGCAGCAAAAACCCAAACCAAACTTAAACTCAAAAAAAGGAGACCAAAACGAAACAAGTCCCACTGCGGTTATCGCCATGACAGCTGTCAATCTGGAAAAGAGAGGGAAAAAATACAGCGAAAAAACATTCCCCAGTCCTGGACGAGAAAGTTTTTTGTTTTCCCCCGAAGGAAACTTTAATTGTGCCGGGGTTTCAATTAGCAGAACAAGTGATTTTATAGCGCCCTCGTCTTGGTCCGCTTTTAAATGATTCCCCAAATGTGGCCACTTGGCAGGTAAAAGTCTTACTCGATATCGTTTCGGGGTGTTGGCCCAGAAATTAAGCAGCCTTAAACGGCAAAAAGGACAATTACTTTATTTGCGCACTCAATTTATTCTGATTTATGGAGCGAACAATGCACAAAGCGCTCTGGCCCATGCCATTGCCTTGTATCCATCCCAAATGTTAATTGCACTAAAATGCAGATTTCGTAAGGCACTTGGAAAAATTCTATATAAATGTTGAATAAGCAGCAGAAATATATATATAATTCGCGGGTGAACACAAAGTTTTTACTGCAGAAAGGCCTTTGTTATAGATTTCATAATTAAATTTATTATCCTTAAAGTTGTTGTCATTTCTTCAAGTGTAATTATGTATTTATTTAACGTATAAGCACATGCATCTGAGGTCCAGTTCGGGACAGACCTTGGCTGCAGTTCGAAAGCCAGCCGGCAAAAGATAAACAGCGACAGTTTTTCCTCCGATAAAATGGGGGACAGGCCATGCTGAAGGTGAAGGGTGGATTGGGTGGGGGATAGTGGGGCTGTTGGGTGGGCCGGCTGGGAACCTTGTTGCCTTGTCTGCCAAACTCATTAAAACGAATCTTTTTTAATGGCCAAAAGTTTGCCCGGTTGCTGCCATAATCAGTAAAATTAAGGCCATGGCAGCTGAAAACTGTTTGCTGCCTGCCAATGTCGTTAGCGTTTGTCCGCAAAAAAGATCCAGCTATATATGTATATCAATTTTATAGTATAAAAAGCTATAATACTATTGATTTTATTTACAACTATTGCTTGCTTTAAACAAAAACCTAAACAGTAAAGAAATTAGTTCATGGAACAAACATATATATTAAATAAAAATACATTTATCTTATACCCAAATAAAAAACCATATTGCCAATTCAATATTCGCTGGCTGTGGCTTAAAGGCGACAACTTATGTGTCAACTTGGCCAACAACAACAACCAGCAACTAACAACTTACTTAAGCCAACTGGCTGCGAAGGAAGCACTCGCAGAAAAGGCGATAGATGACGCAGGCATTGCCATTGCCATGTCACACTCGGGCACTCGAAAGGCCGAAAAGGCAGCTTCAGCTCCAGCTCCAGCTCTTCCTCCCTCCCCATAAACGTGCTCCGGGGTTTTTGTAACCTCACCCTCCCAAAATCCCCTTCCGACCCACCGGAATCACTGCACGTGGCCATCGGGCTGCACTCTTGTGCACTAATTACGAAAACTCAGCACGTTTTGCCATCGCATGGCTCAGAGCTTGGCCCGGCTGTCTGGCTGCTTGCAGTTCCCGCTCCCGTTGGCTGTGGATGTTGCCTGTTTGGCCGCCTTGTTGTCCGAGTGGTTAAATGCCTGGGCTCTGCTCTACTCTGGCATACTCTGCTGTGCTCTGCTGCAGTAATAGCAGCAACATGCAACGCGACAGTTGCCTACACCCGGGGGAACTGCTGGGGACACGGAGAAAAAGTAGAGGACTAGGCACTGGGACTATATTTTAATCAGACTTTTTTCATTATATTTGAGGTACTTTACAGGAAAAAATTAAAACAAATAATTCCTGCTTAGCTTTTTGTTAATTTTTAGCTAAAAAGATTCTAAAGGATTTCCGGTTTAAGTTTGCATAAGAAAAATTCGCATATGTTAAAGCTTTCTTGTCTAAATAGTTTTCAGCATTTGCTTAGGATTCAAACAAGTTTCTATATATTCCAGAGATTGGTAATTTAGTATCTAATTAACTTTTCTTTCAGTGTCAAAAGCATCAGCAAAAGCGGCAGCGATGGTGGTGGTGGCGGCATGGTCCCTGCAAAAGTTAAAAACATTGCGGCAAGCAATAAAATCAACATTGGTTTCGGTTTTGGCTTTGACTCTCTGCCCTGCACTTACCGCCTTTTCCCCCAGTGGACCGCTGTGTAACTGTATTACTGATGAGCTTCAAAATGTGCTTGGCGTGCCACAATTTTACCAAAGTCAATGTCTGAGGTTGCCACCGGACTCGCTGGGCGGAAAATGCCGCCCATTAAAAGCAGCGGGTTAATGGCTAAAAACCAAGATCTATGGCTTAATAGTGAGCTAAACTTGAAAAGAAATATTGCAAATATATTGTTTAGATCAATGAAAAATTCTTAATAATTTTGTACATCAGTTTCTTTATATTAAAAGTTAATACATAACAAATAAAGAGCTTTGTTTACCTTTTCTATACCCAAACCCAAACCCAATTTTAACTCAAAGGCGTTCGTAACTTTAATCTATCGCTTTAGTACACATTATTTTACCCCTAAATTAGAGAAATCCCAACACCCTTATATAGTGGCGCCTTAAATGCCGAATGTGAGGCTTGGTCAACTACATATTTGCAATCTTTACGTCGGCAAGGCAACATGGCTATAAAAATAAATTACACCAAGCTTAAAACTTATGTGAGGTGGAAAGAAAAATGGCTTATAGACGCGCAATGCAACCCAAAAAAGAAGCGAACCAAAATCCGTAAGGAACCGAAATTGAGCGGTACTGTATAGCAAAATGACCAATCGACCTCAGAGAGCCCCCAAAGGAGGAAATCCCAGGAAGGGAGAGTGATGAACGTTATTGCTGCTTTTCGGTGCCGCTCAAGCGGAGTGATTCACCCCCCCACATACACCAAACACATCAATACACAATCACCCACAAAAAAGAAGAGGAAAATCGAAAGAAAAACTGGGGTAAAGGTAAAGCTCCGAGCCGACAATGAAGACATTAACATGACCAACGACAACAGCCAACGACAAAACCCTCCTCCTTGCCCCATAGCTCATCACATTAATCTTCTTAATACGCCCATCAATAATTCAAAGCCAAAGGCATGACCAACTGGCCGAGCGACAAACCAAAAACTAAGGTGCAAGCCCGAGTCCAAGCCGGGACCCGAACTTGGCCAAGTGAAGAAGTCGCCTCCGACACGCAACCATATAGCCATATATATACATATGTTCATATATCGAAGCGACCCAAGTGCCGAGTGAATTATGACGCTCAAGTACACGCTCCAAGTTCGATTCCTTTCGTCTGAAGTGGCCACCTTCGAAAACAGTTTGTTGTCGTCCATCAAATGCAAACTATAGCGTACAAATATTGAACTCTCTTGGCCCCCGACAATGAAACTTTATGGCTGCGTGGCCAGTGATTTATGCTCCCAGCTGTGCACAGCACAAAAAAAGAAAACAAAATACAAAAAAATTGGAAAAACCCTGATTCTATATTTAATTGTTTGGCACTTAGATTACAGAGACGATAATCTAGGCTTAGCTAATTTGAGCACTGCTTTTATACTCGGGTAATAAAAGTGTATAAATGAACCATGTATAGATAATACTATAAATAATCTATGTACATACAAGATTATGTTTGATTCTAGTTTATATTTTATGAATCCAGTTATAGCCAGAATATATTTTTTTAAATAATAATATAAATTATAGAAATAAAGAAGATAAATATAAGATGCAATATTGTGTGTAGAAGTAATTAAACTATTATTGAACTTTTCTATCCAACAACTTTCTCTTTTAACTTTAGATATCATGTCCTCATTTACTGGTCTCATAAAATCGCTCTTAACTTTGTGTGTCATATCGCCATAAAGCAAGAACATTTCTCCAAAAAGTCAGTTTCTTTCACTGCATTTTGCACCCACATTTCGCATCTTGCAACTATCGAAAATTGCGAACGTAATTGTATATGAATGACATATGCTGAACGCACAAAAGCGCTGGAGCGCTGTCGTGTTCCCATTGTGCTCCTGCGACTGACAGGAGCCCCCAATCCTCGAGCCCATTGTTGGCCCTGGACAATGCCAAAAGTGCCGCTCCCTGCTCCCTCTGCATTCTCCTCTCATTCGGTAGGAGTTCCACCTGCTCTCCTGGTGTTGTCCCCGTGACAATTTGATGTCAGTTGCTTCGTTCGGAATTTTTCGTTACCATCGCTGCTTTTTCACGCCTACTTCGGCACCCATTCGACCCCACGCAAATGCCTTTGTTGTGCCTTCTCTCTCTCCTCCTCTTAAATTGTTGCCAACATCCTTTTGTTGATGAAGATAGGCATCCATCTGGCCATATGTGTCAAGCCTTCCCGGCACCTTTCATCTCACTGGAGGCGGCGGCGGCTGCTGCTGCTCCTTATCAGCGAGGGCTTAAGCGCCACTAATTGTGTCAAAGGTTTCGTCATCCGATGGCGCGATAAAGACATCGCATCGTATTTTCGGGTGACTATAAAAGCAGCAGCCGGTAGCCGAAATATTTTAGTGTTCTCATCTGCTGAAGACAAGAAAGTGAGTTATTCCGAGTGCAGATTAAGGGGAATATAAATATAATAATACTAAAAAATTAAAGTAAAATTTGTGAAGTCTAAGGAAAAAGGGAATATAATTTGTGAAGGAAGTTTTATTGTTTTAGGATTTAATTTTCAAATCTTTAACTCTATAATTAAGAACATTAAAATATATATTATTATAAGAAAAGTAAACAAAAGCTATACCTAATCTAAGCTGGACACATAGCTGATCTAATCTTTTCCTGTTAAATAAGATCTTACTCATTAATCTAATGAATACTCTACAGTAAAATATATTTTTAATAATATATAAAAATTACTCTTCTTTCCTTGCAGTCTACCATGAACTTCTCCTGGCTTGCCGTTCTTCTCTTGGCCATCTTTGCCATGGCTGTGTCCGCCGACAAGTGCTCTGCTCCCTTCAAGAAGGAGGGCAATCAGTGCGTTACAAATCGTACCATTCGCGGAGAATGCCCACCCCACTCCCAATACAGTGCCAAGATCAACAAGTGTGTCTACAAGTAAAAATATACTAAATAGAAAACTAAAATAAAAACTAAACAAAAGAAACAAATACTTTTAAAATAATTTGAAAGCAAAACTGTTTTGTTTTTTGCTGCTTATCAGCAGCCGGGGTATTATCGCTGGCCCCCGTTATTTACTGGAACTAGACCAAGGTCGAACTGATATAGCTTAGCGCATCTGGTCTATATAAGATCCGTTTCAGTTGCAGCTCATTGAATAGTTGCATTTTGTGTTTTTCCGAGGTGAGTTGAGGCCGCCTCTTGATAATTCGAGTTGCTAAGGCATTTACTTTGAAAAGGAATTTAAAAATCCGCAAATATGTTGGTGAAATGCACTTGGCTTTTGATGTTGGTCCTGTCAGTGATGGCGGGAGCCTTTGCCAGCAGCTGTCCCTCGGGCTTCAATGCTGAGAACAATCGGTGTGTCCAGGATCGTCCCATCCATGGAACCTGTCCCCCCGGCTCATCATATGCCCTTAGCATCAACAAGTGTGTCCATGCGTGAGGTTGTCATCGAAATGAATTTATAATTTGAATGTAAAAAATATAAAAAATAAAAATTAATACAGCTGCAAAAGGTTTGAGTTATGCACCTCCAAGGTTTGCTTGAAGTTCGTAGAACAAGGAAATCATTTCTGACACAAGCAATTTAAGTTTTAAAAATTACTAATATATTTTCCGTCACAATCATAAAGTATTGAAAAAACCTTCAGACTAGTTTCTAGACAGAAAGATTGAATTTAAGGGGTTACAAAAATTATGTTCTATTATCTACTCGACATTTTTATGGCTAAAAGTTTTGCTTTAAAAAAAAATATGGAAAAAATAAGTAAATATATATACAGAAAAGATTTTGTTGACTTTTCTTAAACTGTTAAACTGGTTTTTATTTATATATTACATATATTCCCCTTTAAGTTACTCTCCTATCAAATTGAAATCCCTGTTATTCTTTCACATACCAATTACCCCTTTAGCCTTTCAACTTCAACTTTTTACCTTTAAGCGAAAGCCGTTTTCGCATCAAGCTCACTTTGGGCCAATTATATTTGGCTTTATCTGTTGGCCATGGGAAGTTCAACAAGTGTGGAAACTAAACGAGCATGAGTGAGGACCGAAAACTGATGAGAGGCCGATGCTGATGGCAATGGCGGTGCCGGTGGTGGTGGCAGTGGCGAGGTGATGATGATGGTGAATGACGTCGTCGCCAGGCGGGCAGGCACGTTGGCCATTAGTTTATTACCATGTAATTGACTCAACGCTTGTCAGACGTCAGCGGCTCTTGGCTCCTGCGGCTTTAATGTGCTGCATTTAATGCCGAAAACCGACACCAATACCAGCAACCATGCCAGCGACAGCCCATCAAAGTCGAAGTTGTCTGTTTGCCGGGAAACGTACTATATATATGTATAGGGTATGTATATAACACGCCGCCTGTCCGCGATTAGCTTGATTGGCCCGACCCCGCACCTTTGGCCCCTCCTGGCTTATCGGTGGAGCGAAAACCCAACCGAGTTTCGTAAGCTTCGCCTTTGGATTGAAATTGAATCGTCTCACAATCGCCCTGCCGCCGCCTGCTATAAAATTCATTAAAAACTTTGCCCCGACTCTCTCGGCCTGAGAATGCCCCAAAAAAAACGGTGGCGAAGACATAAAAACGTAGAAAACATTTAACAGTGGCAAAAACTTTGGCAAGTCCAAGCTGTCGACAGGATGTGCAGCAAACCCAATTGCATATGCCAATGTAACAAAGTTTTCAACAGCAAAATGTCCCACGCCCACGGCCAGTGATGGCACTTTAGTGCATAGCCCCCCAAGGTTTACAGTTTTCCGCCAAAGAAAATTCACCGGAAATTATGAATTACAGCACCCTTTTTCGAAATTACAGTTTGAAAATCTTTTAGATAGAAATTTTAATATGAAATCACTTTTGTTTTATAGATAAGAGTGTATATAGTTGGTTTTAGAAGTATAAAGATTTTCCCAAAATAATACAGAAATATATAACATAAAAAATATGTATACAAAGGGACATAGAATTTCTAAAATATCATCTAAAATTTCAATTAAAATAATTTTTCCTAGACCGTCAACACTGCAGCCCTAGCAGCGTCCATAAACTAAACGTCCTTGTCACTGGGGCTTGTAAATTTCTATGACTTGCATAAAAAAGGGCTCTCCCCAGAATGCCTTCCGCTGCTCTGGGTTTCCTTTTTGGTCTAAAAGTTTCCTGCAGCAAAAGTCGGCCAGCCGGACAGCGGACGGCGGCAGGAAATAAGGAAATGTTTTCAGTCGTATTTTGCTGCCTTAGCAGCGACATTTATCAGTCAGTTGTTGCAATGCAATGTCCTTTGGGCCGATGGCCCTCAGCTTGAGGTGCACAGGGATGGGCAGGGGGTTGGGGTTTCTTCTTGGACAATTTTCAAAAGGAGTCTCAAGTGCCTGCCGCCTGGAGCCTTGCAGCTGACAGCAATCGCTGCAACGCCCGCTATATATGGTATATACATAGGATCTGGTATCTGGACTGCGGGCTGCCTAGAAAGTTGCCTCCGCAGAAGAACCACGCGTAAATATGATGAACGTAAGCAGTAAAGTTCTGGCCAACTGATAGCCGAACGAACGCTCTCCTACTTGGCCATCTTATAAACACAAGCTGGCCCTAAAAAACTTTTGCAACCAAGCAAGGACTCTCCTCTGGTGACGGCTCAACTTTATGGGGGCCACATAGTTGCGGCTTGGCTGCATTTCAAGAATGCTGCTGTGCAACTAGGTCCCATCAGAGGCACAGAGAGAAAGAAACATTATTGTTAAATATTAATTATTACACTACAAAATATTTATTTAGTTATTTAATGACACACATTTTAAAGTATTAAGATCTTCTAAGGCTCTGAAATGTTTAAAGTACTCACATTATTTTTTTCCAGTGATTTCTGCCCACTTCTTATCGCACTGGGGCATTGTCCACCCCTACACTCCCATCGTCGGTCCGTCCATTGGTAAAAACGAAAGTGTGGCCATAATTTTTGAGCTGCCCGGGTGTGTTGCTGCTGTTGTGGTCGGTCGGTGCTTCCCCCGACTGGCTAAAAGTTTCCCCGTTATTGATGCCATCCAAAAAGAGTGCTGACGAGGCTCACCAAGGCGCCCAAAGAGAGAACGCCGGGCTACTACTTGCGAAATAGTTTAAACGCACACTTACACCCTTTTTATGAGGATGGCATACACCCCCCCTGTAATTGTTCGGCGCCCTGAAGTGATAATGGATGCGGCGGGGACTTCTGTAATTACGGTTACACTATGCTAAAAATATCACAAAACATAAACCGAACAGTTATCAAATTTAATCGTGTGTTAAATTGCCTAAATCGCTGCGCAAATTCAATCAATATCGATTAATTAGCTTGTTTAGCACTAGTTTTAAACCGTAATCAAATTTGTTTGTTTATCAGCCTTATTAGGTAATCGCAGTTTACAGGGTTTAGTTAAGGATTAAAACAATGTGGGTATGGGGTTTATTTATTTTTGAATATTATATGAAACCGTTGATTATATATTTAATTAGTGAAATCGTTTAGCTGTGTTTTTATATTAGGTATTCTGGGAAATTAGATTGAAAAAATCTTGTATGCAACGTTTGTAATATGATAAAGTTATGTTTTCTATTTTAAATGTTTTTAAAGCACTTGAAATCAAGTAAATTTAAAGTATCCTGAAATTTCTTATAACTAACTATTTTATTATATTTAAACTAATCTTTGTTTACCTATAATCTTCTTAGATTTTCTAGAATTTCCACAGCCAACATTTTGTAACAAAGTGCTTGCAGTATTCCAGCCTGACTGCGCTCCGTTTCAACCAAGTATTCTGCCATGCCTGTCGGCCATGTTTGTCTGCTCGTCTTGTGCGTGCTTGCAACTTTTATCCAAAAACTAAAAACAAGATGGCGGTCTCCTGTGAGTGTCCCTGTGTGTGTGTGTGTGCCCCATAGGCGTAAAAACTTTAATTTGAGTTATTTGCATGAGTAGTACTCACAGTTGAAATTATAATATAATTTTACCAGCAGAGCAAAAACAAAAACTTTATCAGTGACAAAGGTGGGGGGGACATGGACTTTTGGCGGTTCCTGTGTTTCCGCTACATCTCTCTATCCCACTCGCTCACGCTCTATTTAGCTGTCTGAAATGCTTTTAATGTGAAACTTCAAACCGTAAAACGAAAACTAATTCGGGAGTTGCAACATATGCTCCATGAATGCAAAAACGATGTCTATGCAATGTGGGCGCTAATACTAATATATATACGTATATATACGTATATGTATATTTTCGTGTGTGTGTATGACTTTTTGGGCCAAAGTTTTGTTAGCCAACAAGAACAACAAGAATTATAAGCGGAGCGGCGCAAAATTTTGCCAACTTCGCGACGGAAATGTTCGTCTGATGAATATTGAAATGTTGCACCTGAAAGGAGTTGGCAGAAAATATCCCGTTGGCTGTCAACAAACTTATCCAATGGCGGCTTAATCGTCCGAATGAAATTTAATTTGCAGTAAAAGATGTGGGTACTTAAGCTATTATATTTTTTCTATAATTAATTCTTTGTTAGAAAAAGTAAGCGAGAAATCCAAAACCTAAATCCCAGGACAAATTAAAGCCACACCATTCTACAAGTTATTATCTGACTTAAGAGTAAGCCAATATTTTTATCACCTTATTATACCCACAAAAGCCCCCAGCCAGACATTGTCCGGGCAATTACATAATACTGCAAATGTCCGACTCTGAGCTGGGCCATTTGGCTGCACTAAGATTTTATATGGCAGCCCGTGTCCCAACCCCTTTATCAAGGTTATCGCAACATTCCCGGAGACAATGTCGCCGTCGCCTCTGGCCTTGGCCAAGTTGGACCCTAATCCGGCAAATCACCAGCAGCTGGTTCTTAATTGCTTTTCTGTTATTTTATTATTGCTGCAGTTTGCTGCACTTCAAATTTCTTCATCTCTTTTCGTACATTTTTTGTTAGCCTTCCCCCCTTTTCTTTGCGCACTTTTATAAAAACTTATTTTAGCTCAAGTTTTTATCTTTATCTCTCGGTCGGCGGATTAAAAAAACAAATACGACGTGGGATGGCAAAAAAAAAGCACTAAGTGAACGGGCGCCAAGGCGAAAAAGCAAAACTTTTTATTTGCTGTGACAAATTTTTAGCAGATAAAATAGCTTGGGGGAAAAACTTTTGCAGCTCCGGGGTTTTGGCCAAAATAAATTTCGGCATGCAGGTCTCCTCCGGCAGCTCTGGCTCTCTCCACCTTTGAGGCAATGCTCGGAGCAGCGTTAACGCTAAATTAAGAAATTTTTGGCAGAACTAATGCTCTGCATTAGTCAAATGTCAAAATTGTTTGCCACGGACCAGGAGCTTTTGTTTGCCCATGGAACCCGGCTGGAGGAGTCTTGAAAACAATTTGAAAAGTAGTCAAACTCTGGGCAAAGGGTACACCGGAGAACAGGTTATAGGTTGCAATTGGCATTTATTTTTTAGGGAATATTATTTATAATATATAAAAATATAAGAAATATTTTA